GGGGATTGAACTTACACTGAAGCTGGCTGCGGCCAGCTTGCAGTGCTGTGTCTTAACCCATTGCGCTGGCATCTATTTTAATGCAAATATTTCAAGTTCTTTATCATCACTGCTCTTTGATGGAGAAGAAGTCTTCATGCAAAGTTCTAAACCTGGCATGGTCACCTAAAAGGTGAAGAAGCTTCATCATGGTCCCTAACATGGGCCTTGCCATCCTCTACAGGTTCAAGCCTTAGCTTTTGCTGCAGCTTGAAACTTCTCACACACCACACTATTGGTTTTTGCTGGCTTTTGCAACAGTAAGGCCTCTCACTAATGTCAGTGGCAGAGCCAGAGTCCCTGAGAAACCTGTTGACTCCACCTGTCCCTCCTAACCAGCACACTTCTTCACGTGTCTACAGATTACAAGCTTGTTATTATCACGGCCCGGGACCCAGCCTCCAGCCTCAGCTAAGGAAATCCTTGAGAACAACAATCACATTTTATTCATTTTTGAACCTTGGTATCAAGATAGGGTGCTGATTTCTTAAAAGACCCCCCATCTCTAACCCACCCCCCATAGGAATGAGAGATGAATAAATGCAGTATAATTATTATATCACAAATGCAAAATAGAACTCACTCCTTAGGACAGAGAAGGAATTGTCTAAATGAAACAAGCAGACAAGTGAGTTGAACAAGACAGGAAATGTTTCACTCTCTAAAATGTTTCACGAGATGCTTGCTCAGAATAAATGGGTGATAGAATCCAAAACCAGTCTCTCACTGGGCTACCCAGCAAGGATTCCTACTTGGGTTGCTACTTTATGTTTTTATGAAGAATTTATGGGTGACCAGGTCTGGGAGGGGAGGTGGGAGATGATTCAGGAAAGCCACAGCATGGCCACCCTGTGCAACAGGGTCACCTCCAGAACTTTCTGAGACATCTGTAGAGTGTGACAGTCACCCCGGGCAGGTGGAGCCTTGAGAAATTTTGAGAAAATAGGCAGTGTGGAAGTGAGAGCTCCCACCTCGAGCTTGAGCATCCTGCTGTCCAGCACGCTCTTGTCAGACGTCGGGTGGCAGTAGGAATCCAGTATGTGGACAGTGTCCGTCATCCAGTCCTGCAGCTCCTTCACCCCCAGGGAGAACTGGCTGTGCTCGGCCACGATCCTGTCCAGTCGGGACACTTTCTCCTGGAAATGACAACAACGGCTTTCAAGCCATCTGAGCCACGGTGCCCGCTCGACCACACACAACCCAAGTGGTAGAGCTGTTTCATCAAAGTGCCCTCCGACGTAGGCTATATGCCACCCCCGTATGGTGTGAGTCTGAATTCACCTGAGATGTGTGAGATCCAGTTCTAAGTAGAAATAGGGGAATAATTCAGTCACACAGAACATTACAAATAATTCTAAATTTGCTGCCCCTTAACTTAGTGGTGATTATTTCTTATGGTGATTTTTCTTATGGTGATTGTAACTTTTTAGAATCAGTCAAATTTCTTCCTAATATCCTGTCTGGGGGGAGGAAGCCAGGTCATTTGAAGCCAGCACCTGGCTCAGCTGATCTCACATGTACCTTACAGTGGAGCTAGAGTTCTAGGGAGACAATCACCTGAGATCTTACACTACCCTGCAGTTCAGAAATGAGAGTATAAAATGTGATTTTATTTACTAAGTGCAAGTTATATCCAACATTGAGATGCTTTTAGAAATATAGTTTGCAGTCTTTAAAACACTCACGTATTTACCGTTTTATATTCTCTAAGTGAATTCAAAGATATCCTTTGAATAACGAGATATTCTTAATTCATTCCATTTTAGATACATAGGATTTTATCAAGACAAAAAAGAGACTTGTTCATAGAAAAGGCGAGGGTGTAAACACCCCCTATTTACACCAAGACTTCAACAAGCATGACCATCTCGGGGCCCCAATGAACAGACCAGAAGCTGGGGCACACCACGGCAGGTGAAGCTGAATTACAGGCTAAATAGTGGCAGGTGCCCACGTGCTAAGGTCTGAAAGGCAAAAGGGGAAGACGGGGACCCAAAGTCCAGAGCTACATAAAGCTCCCGGGAGGTCTGGCCGCGGGTCAGCGTGGGTCTGCGTTAAAGCAGCTGGAAGTTTCTGGCATCCCATTTCCTTCGTACTAAGGTGTTTCCAAGAAGAGATTTAATCAGTTACAAGAGTTGTTGCAATTTTGGGTCCCTGCTTTAGAATCTGAACCAAAATCCTCACACCTTTACCTGTGATTATGCAACAAATCTGAGAAACCTAGACAAATTAAAAAAAATAATAATAATACCCCAAACTCATACTTAATCCACTGATTTCTAAAGTGCTCTGAATTTAAGTTTTTGAGTCATTTAAGATTCTTTAGCTTCCAAACTCTGTATTTTGCCTTATGTTTATGTTTTTTTGAGACTTCAAAGCAAAAACTCTGGGGAACGGACCAGTTCAGCGTTCAAGGGTCTATTTTGTGCAGTGATAGAGAAGGGGCATCTCCCCCGGTCACAGACTATTGACTCCAAGGGTGAGCCCTGCCTTGCTCCTCTCAGACAACCACATGGAGACAATCACACACAAGTGACTGACTCGAGGGGGCCTGAGGCAGCACCCCGAGATTGCAGACCTGTGACGCAGCACCACACTCACACTCAGCACGAGGCGGGCATTACCTTTGTTAGATTGCTTAGCGCTAGATACTGAGAAGACAGCTGCGACACTCTGTGCGTAAAGCTCCTGCTGGCAGCTTGTCCTTCCCACAGCTGCTGAGCTTTCTCTCTGAGCCTGTTGAGCTGAGGCTCGTAGCAGTTTATTTCCTCAAGGACAGACTGAAAAGCACAAGCAAGTTACTATTGAGAGGCTGGGGGAAAGCACATGGCGGACAAAGCTTCGATCCAAAATGCACAGGAATCAAACACTGGCAAGTAATACGTGGACCTGAGGGCTTTACTATCTCCATGCTATGCACAGGACAGCAGGACAGAAACGAACCAGACCTCGGAGGAAAGACAAAACAAGAATCTGACAGAAACCCAGAAAGGATGCGCTGAATCTCAAGGTGGCACAATCTGACTCCAGAACGTTTTGCATGCATCTGGCTGTGCAGAGGATGGGGTGAGGGTGGCCTCAGGGCCCGGGGCTACTCACCTGGAGCTTCTGCTGCTCCCTCCTCTTTGCTGGCAGGTCATACAGGCGATTGCTGCTTTCATGCACCATTTTCTCAGTTTTGCTCAGCCAGCCCTGTACGGGCTCAGCACTTACTTCAAAGTCCTTCATTTGGATTTTTAGACTCTATAAAGTTTTAGACAGTTAGAGACCAAAAAATACATATTTTTTTAATAGCAAGTCCCACATCCTTCACTTGACATTCAAATCCCAACTCGATCCTGCCATTGTCCCCTCACCCCCGCTTCTGTTCTTCGCCTTGACAACCATAGAATTTTTGAACATTCTCTGAGAATTTCTTATGGCTCCAGCTTTTCAAAAATTATTTTTCCCAAATGCCCCAGCCTTTTTCAGAGGTCATACCCTCTTCTTACATACCCACATTGATCGTAAATTCCTCAAAATCCCCCATTCATAATCGGCACCCCCAGGTCCAATTCCTCCTGCCTGAAATGCACACTCTTCTTGGCAACTTCAAAGAATGTTTCAAGGCTAAGTTAAAAGTCAGCTTTCTGGAAACCTTTGTGACATTTCCAAATAGTTCCTTGCATTTCTGCTTTGAGTGACTACCATTTCCTCATATACCTATCTCATACTGCAATCATCTTCTTAAATACGCTTTCCCCTTCGAGATATGGAACATCCTGAAGAGAGGGAAAGACTGTCACTTTTGTATGCCTAACACAGTGCGAGGCACATAAGAAGGCATCGTAATGAATTCATTCTTAATAGGAGCGAAAGAAGGGCGGGATGGAGAGAGGGCGGGAGAGGGAAGAAAGGGAGGGTGTGAGGGAGACAGGCAACTGACTCCTGACTCACCCTCTCTGGACATCTCTTGATCTGGGCAATCTTGCAATCACAGTTAAATGTGCCAGATGCAATAATACTTGTGTGAGAGTATTAGTTGCACTAATCTTTAGTTGCGTGAGATCATTAGTTGCACTAATGATCCCTGCAGGCTTAAGAGTAGTCTAAGCATAAGGGCGACTACCACTCTCTGTGAGATGGATGGTGTGTGGCATGCAGCAATTGTCAAGAATTCTCTTGATACAGGAGAATAACAAAGGTCTTGGGTTAGGAAAGAAGTGAGGAAATAGACATTTTTTCATTTTCTGGATATTAGGTCTCCATTACTATTTTTTCCATCCTATATTATTTATGGTCATTATCAAATTAAGGTTTTATTCTGCCAGGTGGTATTATTCTAAAAGGAAAAAAAAAAAATCCTTTCTACACCTCTAAATTTCTCTCTGTAGAAGAGCTGGTACATAAAATAAATGATTTCGCAAGAAAAAATTATGGTGTTGTAGCAGTATGTTATGATTATAATAAATTGGACTTAAAATGAAACTGCAGAAACATTGTCTTTAGCACACCTGAGTCCTTGATCCCCACCCTCACACCTGCATTAGTTATGGCATTTCCTCTCATCCAGAGCATTCACAGCCCAATCTGGGTATTTCAGTTCATTCTCCTTGAGCAACTTCCCAAATGGAAGGATTTCAAGGGAAAGATTAAATATCGTGTCAGAATGTCACACCTGTCAGTTCCCTGCAGGGTGGAGCCCAGAATCCGCGCCCTCTACCACACAGGATGCTATTTCATCCCTCAGGGTGGCTCCCCCTCTAGCGCTACGCTGCTCCTCGTCGCTAGTTTTCTATTCTTTTTGAAGTTATTTATTTATTCACACAGAACTGGGGTACAGGCCATAGGTGCAAGGGGGTGAGAGGATTCACCAGAGATGGCGTGGGGAGCAGAACAGGCAGATCGCCTGAAACACACTGCTGAGGGGAGCAGCGGGTGACACAGGAGAGGTCCGCTGTGCCACGTGGGTCAGCTTCCTGGCCGGGCATCGAAGTTGTGCTTAAGCGGCTGCGGCCAGCTTTGTAGTGCTGAGCTTTAACCAGCTGCACCACCAGGGAGGGCCTAGTTTTCTATTTATGTCCAGAGAAGGATGACCACAGTTACTGGTACAGGTACCTGGATGTTCTGAAAAGTTTCCACTACTGACAACTATCATCAACACAGGGCGTGTCCATGTGCAGGTGACCATACCTCCAAAGCCGACTCCTTCTGGTGGAGATGCGAATGAAAACTTTTCCAGTCTTCTTTGGCAGTTGCCATTTTGGCCTGGATTCCATCAGTTTTGTCTTTGCTCAACAGACTCATCAAGAGGTCCCCTTTGGATAGCATCATGTTTAGCTTGTGCTGTCCATTTTCACTTTCCAATAAAAATTCCTAGAAAGCATACCATAGGATTAGGCAAAATAAAATGCAAACACATCAAGGGTTCAATTTGTTTACAGTAGAACCAAAGAAATCATGTCTATTTTGCCGGAGTTGCTTTACTCGGCCTGTACTTTGGCCCTAATAATCTCCCATATGCCCACTATGGCTACAGGGAAACCTAAGTGAGAATATTTGCTTGAAATGCTTTTCTTTTTTTTAGAGAGATCTATTTATTTACGCATTCAGAACTGGGCTATAGGCCAGAGGTGCAGGGGCAGTGAGAGGCTTCACCAGAGACAGAGTGAGGAGCAGAACAGGTAGGTTGACTAAAACACACTGCTGAGGGGACAGGAGAGGTCTGCCACTTGATGTGGGTCACCTCCGGGGCCAAGGATTGAACTGGCATTGAAGTGGCTGCAACTACCTTGCAGTGCTTCGCTTTAACCCATTACTCCACCAAGGAGGGCCTGAAATGCTTAAGTATAAGGTTTGGAGCACAGACTTTCCTCATTACCTAAGCCTCCACTGATATATAAAAATACATGTACTTGTGGGGATGAGCTAGTTTCTCTTCATGTACAAAATCAATTGTTTTAAACAAATATTTATTTGAAATTTGTGTTTCTTCAGCAAAACTATAAGCTGTTTACAAAAAGAATCAGAAGTACCTTCTGAGTCCACTGAAACACCATTACTAGAAATACTGATACACCCTTACCTGTATTGTCTGAAGACTTGTTGTAACTTCACTAATATTCTGAGGTATATCAAAACATTTGGCGGTAGTGATTTTTGCATTAACCAACCACTGCTGGAAATCTTTGAATGCTCTTCGAAATCTTTGTTGCAAAATCTGTTCTTTATTCTGACAGCCCTTGGATGCTTGCAAACAAAGACTAAGGGAACAAATATTAAGGGAAGAAAAGGTATGATAAACTAGATTAAAGTAATGCTTGATAAAATCCGCAGTTCTTAATGTATACGCTCACATCACCAAGCAATGCGGTTAATGATTCACTTATATTATTATTGAAATCACACCTAAAAACACACCGCTAATGGATGTGTAGAAAAACACGGAATGCCAGTAGGGTTCATGCTTACCAATTGTATTCTTTAATCAAACCAGAAACTTTCCCACTGTATGAACTCAAGTCTCTGGAAAATCGACAAAGTTCATTCAGCTGAGACTTCAGGTCTTCGGTCTTGGACTCTGCTTGTTGTAGAGCATCTAGAACCTCCTATGAGGAATCACAGAGAGTAGATTTCAAATTGGGTAGTGGCACATCACATACTATTCACATATACAATCCTACTATATAGTTCGAATGAGATAAATCTATAAATTCAGTAAATGAGACTGATTATCAGGGTTCCGCAGAGCAAAGGAGAGCACTCAGCTAATCTGTACTCTTTGCTGTTCAGGGATGGACACCCCAGCATCAAATGCTGCCAGGTCATCAACTGATCCCATGACCAAATACCTTCAAGGGAGTAGGAAAAAGAAAAAAGAGACTAAGTTGTGTAAAATCAGTCTGATTCAAGCAGCAAGAAGTATATCCATATACGTTGTTTAAAGATAAAGAGAAATAATTTCAAAACAAAAGCATTTTGAATTAAAAATATTTATAGTAGCCCCCCCCCCCATTGGTGCATCAAGTTAAAGCACAGCACTGTGAAGCTGTCCACAGCCACTGTAGCACAAGCTTGATCCCTGGCCACAGAGCTGATCCACATGGTGCAGCAGACCTCTCCTGTCTTGCCCGCTGCTCCCCTCAGCAGTAGACTTTGTCAGTCTGTCTGTTCTGCTCCCCACTCTGTCTCTGGTGAATCCTCTCACTGCCCTTGCACCTCTGGCTTGTACCCCAGTTTTGTATGCATAAGTAAATCAATCTTTACAAGAATATGTACAGTCAATGATTTTATGCAGCAGATACACCTAATTTTCACTTTAAGATATCTTAAAATTCACAGGTGTGATTTAACTAGTAACTCAATTATTTCATCATTTCATTCATACAGCCTTTAAATAGTTGCCAAATATCTGCAAAGGGCCGATCACTTCACTAGTTCTGAGAACCCCCATCCCCAAAATGCCTAAATGGAAAGATATTTGACTAACCGCAGCTCTGTGCACATCTCGTCCAAACAATGTCTTGGAACTTGGCAAGTCCATCTCTGAAGTCAAGGCCACGTACACTGAGTCACACAACGTGCTTTGCTATCAGAGGGCTTCTGTTATAGGGCTCTTGTTAGCAGCAAACAAGATCTGGGTATCCAAAACTTAGCACACTTCCTGGCACACTACTAAGTGCCAAGTTGATAAAATTAGCAGGGAAAGGACTTGAGATACTTAGATGGGACTGAATGATAATGGTATTGCCAAGGGAAGAAAAAATGAAGGAGGAGGGACAAAAAGGTGAGTAACTCCTCAGGTAGCTGTTGCCCTGAGCTCCCATTATTCTCAGAGATATTTATCCAGAGATGGCCTGAATTGGTAGAATAAACAAGCTCTCAACAAACTAGCTCTGAGTGCATTCCTCACTCCAATAAATGGCATCTCTGTCCTCTCGCTGACCTGAATGTGAAAACTAAGCATCGTCTTGGCCTCACCCATTTCCCTCTCGTTCCATACTGGAGACCAGGGCTGGCCTGGCCACTCGGGACAGAGCCTCCGTCAGTGCTGTGCTCAGACCGGTTATGGTTTCAAGTCCATGGCCTGAAGATTATTTTGGACAACATTGGAGTTTGAAGTCATTTTGAATGACTTGTCTTGAAGTGGGGGTTAGGACATTTTTATTGCTATGAATGTGTGAAGGTGATGTCATCAAAATTGTTTTGCTACTGTTTATTCACTTAAACATACGGAGGAGAGATTGTGACATCAGGGAGATTTAAAAGTCAGGTACGAACATCTGTGAGCACCTACTCACAGAGCGTGCTGGGTCTGGACAAGAGGACTCTTGACTGACCTAAGTAGCTCTCTTTGGAGACTGTGAGTGCGGCCCCTCCCAAGGCGAGGCCTCAGCAGGCAGTGGTGAGAGCCGTGGCCAAGAAGTTCATTCTGCCACCCCCACCAGACCTCTGGCCACACAAAATCCTCAGGTGGGGCTATCACTTTGGGCCAGTCGCTAGACATCAGCTCCTGGTTGGCTAAGTTGATTTTTTCTAGAATCGACTTGGCAGAAATGTACATTGCCTGGGACAATCACATAGCTAATTTTTTATTGCTTTGCAACATGTTATTTCTGTATTGTCTTACTATGAGGCATTACCCTCTATGCTATTGGTTTGTGCCATTATTATAAAATAACTCTACAGCGAAACTGTGTTAAATAAATAATCGGCATAGACTGTTCCAGTCTAAGTATAATTTGCCAAGGACAAAGCAACTTTTGTTTTGCCAAAGTGTTTTTTGACAAAAACACTTGGGCTCTGCACCTTGACTCTCATGGCCCTCATTTACATCTGCAACATTTCTTTCTGGAATGTTCTAACTGCCTCAAGTCTGTTCTATAGTTTGCTCTCCTGTGTTTTTTCAATGCTCAGTTATTTTGGCTCTTATAATTAGACTTGTAACTACTCAAGACTCAGCTTATATGGCAGGGTTCTCTGCTCTCCTGCCCACATCTCGGGGCTTCTTCCTTGGGGGTACGTTACTTCGTCAACACTCATCCTGCTAGGGAACATGGATCTTGGACTTGATGGGCATTTTACCTATACTGTAATTCTGAAAGGTAGTCTTCTCTTGGATTGAAAATTCTTTTTCTTTAGATTAGTATCTGGGCTAGAGGATCCTCAAATATTTTTATTTACAAAATTTTTGACTAATGCCTAGAAAGTTTCTCTTTGAAATATTTTTATTTACAAAATTTTTGACTAATACCTAGAAAGTTTCTCTTTGAAACTCTAGACATTTAACTGGTATCTACTATTTTTCACCATAGTAAGTCTTTCCTTGAGAGGATTTTTGATCAAAATTAACACATATAAAAATTTTATAGCTTCAAACAACTCAGTAGAGTCATTTTTATGACTATCAAGTCATAATTTTAGTTAATTTCTGAGTAATTTTCCCCCTAAATTTTACAGAGGTTAAGAAAATGCCTACATTTTCAACACCAAAAAACCCCAAGAATATTAAGAGATAGGAATTTTGCAAACGTCATAAACAATGTTTTTTAAATATGACATTTTGTAGTTTATAGATGATGATCCATTTTGACTTTTTAAAAGATTTCTTAAATATCATAAGCTAATTACAGAAAATTAATGTGTGTGAAGGTTTGTGATTATTAGTAATATCATCATCAATAATGACAAGCCCTTCTTCACAGCAAAACAATGCCCTGAGCCCTACTAATCCAGTGTTCTGTAAAAGTTCTGTAAAACTTTTCTAGGCATTCATAGTACTAGAGCTACTAACTCCATTTTATATTTATGTGTATATATATTTCCCTATATATTTGCATGCTATAATTGGCATGCAACACTGAATAAGTAGAATACAACATATTGATTTGATATATTTATAGATTGCAAACTTATCCTTATCTCCATCTAAAAAATTAGTTTCTTTGTTGTGAGAAC